AATGCATTTTGAATTTGCACAGAGCATTCTGGGATTGTGTTGAGCGTGTTAGGATTTTGTTGTTTCTAATATTTGGAGGTTGCAAATTCATTATTTTTGTTTTCCATTGAATATTATTAACTGAATAACTTTTGCTCCTGAAAGTCTGTTTATGGTTGCTGGTAGGGGAAAAATTTATTTGCTTATGTGTTTAATATCTGAATTCCAAAGTCAATTTTATAATATTAAATGTTCTTGCTAACCAAGAATATTTCTTCTATTGATATATGAAAAAATGAATCAGCTCAAATTAATTTGTGTTGTTAATCAAAACAAAATTCCATTCTTATTCATGTGCCTTCAAAGACAGTGGGGACTGTTGATAACAAATGCTGTAATAAGTGATGCACTATTGTTTCATTCCCAAGCTCTGTCAAGGAGGCATGTTTCCCTCTACGCGCAGTCTGAGCCTGCTTATTTTTTATCTGTATGAAGTTTTTAAGTGTTTTGCGACATTGCTGTTAGTAGCTCCAGAAGTATCTGCTGTCTGAAAAGATCCGCGCTTACAATCCACTTCGAGAGACTGATTTGAAATTCAAATCTGCTGTATTCTGAAATAAGTGCCTGTTTGTAATGAATGAATGCTGATTAAGGGCTCCGTGTGAGCTCATAATAGAAAGCTATTATTTCTCCTATGGATTCAGTAGGAATTCAATAGGGTAGCATTCAGCATTTCACATGCAATTACATCAGCATCATCAGAAGCAATGATGTCTTCTTTGAATCGAGCAACATTAGGGCTTTGGCTGCACCATATGTAGTATGGCTCATGTTACATATGAGGGGTGAATTAGGAGCTTAGTTAAGAAACAGAAAAAACCTATGGGCTCTCTTACAACTGTTTTCAAGCTGTATTTAAATTCTTTCCTTTTGTTGCAAAAATGTTGTGCAATTATAGTAAGACTTTGGTGACAACTCGCAGCGCAAGAAAGGAAATCACATCAGGCATCGAAAGACATTTTGCTGAGAAGCTGAGTTTAAAGTTTAAAATAAACAACGAGAAAGCAACAAAATACCCTTGTGACACCAGGGGAGCACATTCAGCACAGTCAATGAAAACATTCAAACCTTTTGTAATTCAATCTCACCCAGTCCTGCTTCGAGCCGGTGTGGTGTTGATGAGCGCCGGGACTCTGCTGCAGGACTGGGGCTGGTGTAAAATCAAACTGCCGTGCATGGGGACACCCCAAAGGCAGCCTCGGTAGCACTGGAGCACAGCAAGTTATGCTAATTAACAAGACGTTGTCATAAAAATGCATTTATTGTTTAAGTAAAGTAAAGGCCTCTGAGGTTATGTGCGGGGAGAGTGAAATGCCAGAAGATCTCTTCAGCTGGTTTCAGTTTGAGGAGCAGAGCCTAGGGCACTGGCTCAGCCTGGCAATCAAACAGCACTGTCTCATTTTAATTGGCAGGTTTTGATGGGAGAGCAGTAAAACATGGATCATGAGATCTTCCTATATTCTGAGCACCATATGGCCAGGATGGATTTATTTTTACACTGCTCTACGCCCCCCTGTGACTTCGCTGGTGGTGTCAGCACAAGGTGGTAAAACGAGTCTCTTCTGCATTTTCTCTGCCACTCGGTTATTGGCTGCCAGCACGGATACCTGCTCAGATGCATCTATTTCTGTCATCAGCTACTGAGGAGCGTGTTGAGGATGGTGCTGTGTCTGGGCCGTCCCAGGAGGGGGCTCCACAGGGGTGATCTGGGTTTGCATGAAGCGCTGGAGAAATATTAATGGGATATTCATTAAATCAGATCCCCACAGGACACAGCTCCTGTTTTATTGCAGGTGCGCTGGGAAGGGGTTTGTAGTGGAGGCTGGTACTGCGCATGACATCGCTTCTGGGTCAAGAAACTCTGCTCCCCCGGCCTGCTGAGGCAGGGCAGATCTTTAAGGTCAGACGCGGCAGGAGCTGCATCCTGGGAAGGGAAATGCAAGCTGCTGGCAAGGCACTAATTGCTCCTTAGCCCAGTAATGACTGTACACTGCTAATTGTGCAGTGGTGGTGGTGGCTCCTGCTCGTCAATCTTTCAGTGTGCAACAGGGTGAATGGAAGAGCCTGCAATGAGCAAACATTCAGTACTTTTGTTCTATTGCTTGGATTTCTGTTTTTTGTGTGTTCCTGTGTTAAAAACCAAATAATCATAGGTTTAGTTTTTTTTTTTAGGTTTAGTTTTTGTCTAAACATAGGTTTTGTCTTAACTTAAACCCAGGGTGACCTGTTGTGCAGTAAGGTTTTAGAGAACAAAACAGACAACAGAAATTACAAAATTGGATTTACCTGATCAGACAGTTTTGCTGAAGGGCTAGCCTTCTTATAAAATTCACACTCTTAATTGCCCAAGTATAGTCATATACCCATACAGTAACGTTTGCAAGTATTTAAACAGAATGTTTACAGTATTTCAACAAACTGAAAATTGACGTTTTTATGTTTTTTTTCATTTTTCACAGCCCAGTCTTGTCTAGAAGTTTAATTAACAATGTTTTTATCTGTAATTGAATGCTGATTAGTTCTGTAAATTTCCCTTTGGGTTTCTGTCCCTGTACAATCAGTGCCCTCTTTATCACCAGGGAACTGTAGAATTTGATTTTACAAGTTCTGTCTCTTTTCTCTCTGCAATGTACACTCTTGATCACTACAACCAGGACCAAATGGTTATTTTTTGTTTAGATGAATTGTTCTTAAAAGTTTCTACAGTCTTGGATGGAGGTTTTATAGGGTTCTGGCTCTATTATGATCAGATTTAGAAGACAGCTGTCCATGTGTTCCTGTAAGTTTAAAAGGCAATTCAGTTGCACTTCTGCAGACAGGGCTGTGGACTGTGGGGTGTGCTATTCCTGTACTTCCCATTTTAGAGTTCTACAGACATAAGAACTGAAAATGATAAACAGAGGTACAAGTACTTCCATTCTCTTTCCGCTGTTTTGCTCATTTGGGCAAGCCACGGGAAATGCACATAAGTGCTTAGTCTGGTGTATCTAAAATATTGTGACATCAAACACAGGGGACTCAGAATGACCGTGCCATGTTTTTTTGCAGTTCATGTCTAACTTTTTAATAGCCAACAGCCATATCATACTGCAAATCACAAGGTTAGCAGGTGTGAGCCTGGCCAGTACCTGGATGGGAGACTTCCTGTGAAAGACTAAGGCTGCTGCTGGAAGAGGTGTCAGTGGGGCCAGTAGGGGGCGCTTACTCTGCAGTCTGTGTGGGTCCTAATGCCCCAGTATAGTGACGGGGACACTATACTGTAAATAGGCACCGTCCTTCGGATGAGACATAAAACCAAGGTCCTGACTCTCTGTGGTCATTAAAACTCCCAGGGAGTTTCTGGAAACGAGTAGGTACAGTATGTTACCCTGGCATCCTGGCCAAATTTCCCTCTGGCCTTTACCAGTCATGGCCTTTTGATAATCCCCATCTCTGAACTGGCTCAATCACTCTGCTCTCCTCCCCACTGAGAGCTGGTGTGTGGTGAGCGTTCTGGCGCACTATGGCTGCTGTCGCATCATCCAGGTGGATGCTGCACATTGGTGGTGGTGGAGGGGAGTCCTCATTACCTGTAAAGTGATTTGAGTGGAGTGTCCAGAAAAGCACGATATAAGTGTAAGGAATTATTATTAATATTCATGAAATGTGTGTGAAATCCTGGTTTTTAGGACTTTCTACCCCTCTACCCCTTGGGGTCCTGCCTCACCTTTTCAACACCCATTACAAGCAGCTCTCCTGTAGCTGCAGAGAGAGGCACCAGAGGGGTGTCGGACTGGGATGTGTGATGTTACTGTCTCTGTCTTGTGCTCCCCTATTCCTCTGTGAAAGAGAGGAAAAACTGCACATGCTGACCTATAGGACGGCAACATTACATTTGTAGCACACTTTTCCATGGCGTCCCTTCAAAGGGCTGTGATGAGGGCTCGACACTGGTTTTCTGCCAGTGGAGACAGGAGGTTGAAGGTTTGGGGTGATGTCCACCTGTGTGTTTAGAATCCGTGCAGAGAGCAGGTCCAGGAGTCAGTCTTGTCAACAGCTCTCACCATGTTCCAGATCATCACAGTTTTTCCTTCATCACTCACGCAATACAAAGTATTCATGGGAGAGGAAAAAAACGTATCTGTTTTACATTTTAAATGTGTGTATACAGCTCAGCATGTAGAAAGTTTCTACAGAAATAATTCAGGTGTGCTCAGGGCAGTGGCATGGATTTGAAAAACGTTTTCATATTTGAATTCTGGTTAACCAGGCTGTGTCTGACTTTCCAGTCTCCGATCTCATATTTAAGCATGAAGCTGGTGTGCACACTGATAAAACTCCAGGTCTAATCTGTACTCCTGGAAAACCAGGGCCTGGTATTCAATGTACCTCACTTGCCCAAGGCTGGGCCACAGGTCCCACATCCCTAATCCCTGTTATTCCAGTAGGATTGTGGGATGTAACCATTCGTCTGCTGTACTGCTGAAATTCAGTGGAAAAACCTGAAGAGAAATATTTTTTTCAGAATTTTTTGTTCACAGGTTGTCATGCTTGGCGTTACTGTAAAATATACCAAGTTTATTTTGGTTGCGAAACAGAGAAATCTGCTTTGCACAAACGAGTGGGTTCAGCAGTTAATGATGGAGGACAGTGCTGCACCAGGCAATGGTTTTGTCTCTGTCTGTTACAAACGCCCCTTTGCTCCTAAGCCTGCGCCGTGTGATCTCCAGGGCTCTCTGCTGTTTCTCTTCCGCTTTGACACACAGCGGAAGAGCTCCTGTCCTGCAGGTGGCGCTCTGCCATTGCGCGGGCTTACGCCAGCACTTGGCAGAAGTGGATGTCTGAGCTCACTTTCGGTAGCTGTGACACGCACAGCATGGTGCGTGGAAGAAACCGCATTTCTCTCCAGGCGCGGCCATGATCCGTATCGCTCGCTCTCCGTAGCTCGCGGCGCTCTGACCTCTGACTTCCTGTCTCCGCAGGCCGACGCCAAGATGGTGTGTGACGTGGTGAGCCGCATGGAGGACACCGAGCCGTACTCCCCCGAGCTGCTGACCGCCATGATGCGGCTGTGGGCCGACTCCGGGATCCAGGAGTGCTTCAACCGCTCCCGCGAATACCAGCTCAACGACTCTGCCAAATAGTGAGTCCCACTCTGCCAGCCTGCTGCCAGGCCTCTTAGCTCAGCCCTGTACCGCAGGGTACGGAGGGGGCCGGACAGGCCTGGGAGCCGCTGAAGGCCTGTGCTATTATTGACCTGGGGAATCTCGTTAAGGTTTCTCCTTCATGTGGGCCACGTTACTTGCAGTTGCTAACAACACACATTAGCTTCAGAGCTGAGTTAGGATCACATTTCTAACCGCTCTTCTCTTCAAAATGAAATGGTGCTCTTGCCAGTATTCTGCAGGACCAGCCTTCACAGTATGATCTGTGAATTTGTTCTCCCATTACTCTTTGTGTGAAGAAGGGGCTTCTCCATTCTCACATGCCCCTCTGTGCCCCTGGGGGTGTTGCTGTTGGGGAGGGCAGAGGAAGGGGAACAGGGGTGGGGCGCAGTCACGTGGTTACATAGCCACACGCTTGTACGGTCATATGGGCATATGGTCAGATGGTCGTGTCAAGTCTACAGGTTTGACGGAGTGGTACAGTGGCACAGTGGCACAGCTAACACCCTGTGATCACCCATCACTTCATGCAAAGTACATATGACTAATGTTATCTGAAACAGGACAATTTTCCATTAAGAAGGAAGGTACATGGTTTTCTAAAACTGCAATAAGAAACTAATTTGAATATTCTGTTGATGCCAGCTTTCAAATGAAAAAGAGAAAGTCTCTCACTCCCTCCCAACAGTTTTAGTCATGAAAACATTATTTTAGGGTCTGATGTCATTGCTTATTTGTGTCAGCCTTTGTCCCTATGAGATGACTGTGCCATACAGCTGGGCAAAGTTTCATTTGTGCTTTAAATGGCAGCTGGGATGGATGTGATTTCAGGAAAAAAAAACCAGCGACTGGCTTTTCTCCCAGCTTTGTGCCTCAAGCCCACTGTTCCAACCAAGGAGGGTAACAGGTTGTCGTTGTTTTCCTGGTGGGCGACTTGTTGAGATGAACTCGGCAATATGTGAGCCATCACCTGGAATGAAGCTCTGATCGCTCTGATGTCCAACCTCCAGACTGCAACCTGTCTCCCAGAATCACGCTTTCAGCTCCCAGCCAATCACAGTGCCTGGTCTGGAGGTGGGCAAAGGAGCTTTCGCATCGCTGTTTCCTGTTTGAGATTCTGATGTCAAACCCTTTTGGTTCTGGTTTTGGTTTTGGAAGAAGGAACAGAATAACAAGGAGGCAGGTGAAGAAGCAAGCTAGGTGGGCCCAAATATACTCCTCTCGTCTGCATTCTCAGCACTGGATTAGAGGGATTTCATACCAAACTCTGAAAGAGCCAGCTACTCTACCTGACTGCCACAGGCGCTCCCAGGCTGGAGCGAGGGGTTTGGCTGCAGGTTCTGAAGCTCCTTCCTGACAGATGCTAGCCAGAGGAGCTCTGAGCAGCGAGCGCAGGAGGACGTCGGCGTCCTGAAGCCAGCAGCAGGGCGAGGCGTGGGGGCCCTCTCTCTCTGCCCTGCGCCGCTGGCCCGCCGGGCTGCTCGCGCTCAGCCGTGGGGATGGAGGGGGCAGCGTCCGGCTGCAAGCTCAAAAAAAGACGCCAGGGGACGGCAGCACTCCGGGACCGATGGCTGCGCTGCGGAGACGCTAGCCGAAGAGCTCGGTGAAAAATGGGGCAGAAGAATGAAATGATCCCGCTGGCTGCCTGCCCAGCTGGGGACAGGAGAGAGGGCTTCGTGAGCCTGGTCCCTGGGGACTGAGCGAGGCAGGAGGCAGTGGGACATTCTGACCCCATTGCTGGCTTTCTGAGGGGCTTGGGTGAACAAGGGCGCATGGCTGATCAGACAACTCTGATGTGCAGACCATTCTTTAGAAACACACAGGCATTGTAGGTTGGAGGCTAAAAAAACATTAACTGTGCATTTTTCGAATTTTAGAGTTCTTAAAGCTACAAATACATACACAGAGGATAGTGAAAACAGAGGCTGACTGAGCTCTTGCATTCTTAAATGGGAACATTTTGATTAATACCTTCTCTTTCCAGGTCTGTAACTGCTTGGCTCCGTTTTGTGGTACACTTATATGGATGAGATCTACATAAGCAATTTTCCAGTCGAGTGTTACCCCTGTTCTGAGTGACTGTGTGAAGATTTTTTGTTCAAGGTCTAGATCTGAGTCAAAGGTTAAAGGTTAAAGGTGACTTTTCATTAAGGAAGTGTGTGGTACCCTGGGGTGTGCTCTGGCAGCTCCTGCAGTGCTTTCTGGGAGTTTCCAAAACAAAGCCCCTTCCCAGCCTGCACCACTGTAACACCCGACAGTGTGGCAATGGCCTCTGCTGCAGACTCCTTGCCCAAACCAGACCACAACTGTCTCTGGACTAGTTCCTTTGGAGGACCATCTGCTCTGGACAGTGGCCACTGATGTATCCTTACCGTTTTAGAAAATGTGCACTACCGTCTTTATCATATTGTACTAGATGATGTTATATACAGTATGTTTGTTGGGGCTTAGTGAGTATTTTGTGCCACGTTCCAGTGAGACAGATGATGAGAAAGAATTCAGAGCTGTCACTTTAATAAACAGGTATTTATGCTGCATTTCCCCGTGGGCTACACACAGCCTGTCTGTGGAGCTGCCCCAGCAGTGGAGAATCTAAACCCATCCCTCCACAAGCAGAGCTTGTTCCTCGGCCCACTGGTCCTCCTGGAGACGCTTTCCAGCAGAATGAGCATTGGAGTGCCCCAAGGAAGGGAAATGTGGAAGCGGAATGAAAACTGAGATTAGGAGGCACGTCTCTACACAAATGGTGGTGGGAGCATGAAACAAGCTGCCCAGCCTTGTTGTTGAAAACTTCTGGAAATGGCTGGATGAAGTCCTGACATCTATTATCTACTAATGACCAAGCAGGACAGACAGGAGAAGTGGCATCTTGTCTTGCAAGTTTTGTGACATATCAGAGACTCCAGTCCACACCAGCTCCCTCCACCAACCACACTGCGCCCCCTCCACCTCTTTTATTTTTTCAGAAATGGCTTCATCCTGTATCCCAGCACACCTGTGGTGGGGAGTCAGTCGCTCCTGCTCCAGTTACTCCTCCCTGATCTGAGCTAAGATCAGGAGAGCTGGAGTCCCATCTCCTCATGGACACAAACAGAGCTGGCAAACGATTCTCTCCTGACTAAAAGCAGCGAACCAGCCACAGCGATTGCTGCATTAACATATGTATTTAAAAAGGTGGTTTATAGAAGAACACATGTTTAAACTCTATAGAAGTTTCCTAAGCATAATGGTATTCTGACTTAAGAAACCTACACAGACACAAACGTACAGATTTACTATTTATGGATGTTTCTGTTGGCTCCTTTTTCCAGGGAGCCTTTTCCGTGTTTGTGAGGCAGAGTGCTCAAGCCGTCAACCTCCTGTCTACTCTTCAAGGCATTTAAATGCAAATTTGTAACAAAATGAGATGGCTCACATTTGCATTGATGCTGTTACTGCAACAGTAGCTGTTTGCTTATAAACAAAACATGAGCATTTGCCACCCAGCCACATTCTTCCACTGACTCTGCAGGCTGCTGGCACACTCCTGCTTCCTGGACACTGGGCTGCAGCTGACCAGCGCTTCAACCAAGTCTTGTAAAACTGCAGTCAGATTGCCAAAGCGAGGGGTTTTAGTTACAGGAATCCATGTGTCATTAGGTGATTCTTTAGATAAAGTCTAGATAGACAGTGCAGTGTGGAGACTGTTCTCTCTGGAAATAAGCTGTACATGAAAGCTTCAGTGTGGCCAGGTCACCTGCTCCTAGAGGAGGCTGAGTCCAGTGCTTAGCCTGTGCAGATCCGACTGTTTTAATCAAGCTGAAGGGCAATACTGAAGCAGTACAGCCCCCTGGAACTGGCCTGATAGCATTTCTTCCTGAGTATCCTACAAGCCTGCAGGAATTCGTCCATGTGCAGCTGTGCTTTCTGATGTACTGCTTGTCTTACAAACCCAGCATACGGTTGTTAACACAACTTCCTGCACAGTAAAGTCATCATTGCTATGCTGTGCTGGTTTAAATTGCTGTATTTGTGTGCTAAAAGTGTGAAGCCCATCGTGCCTCCACTGCCTCTGCTCCAAGTGAGAGGGGCGTTCCTGCACCTCTTCCACTAGGACAGGCAACTGTTCCAGTCAGGATGCTTTAGTACTGACTGCAAGGTTTTAAAAGTAAATGTATCCCTGTTTAAATGTATCCCTGTCATGTTGGCTGTTAGAATAAAAAATCTTTAATGATGCTGCTGCACAGACTGCCCTCCAGTTCAATTCTGTGAGGCCCTCGCCCAGTGCAGAGACAGCAGCAGATGATCTCCCATAAGTTTGTCATTATCCTCAAGAACCACTTCTCTCGGTCCCTCCTAGAAACAAATCAAACGGCCATCAGCATCGGTACTAAAACACTAAACTCCCCAGGCAGCGGAGAGACTCTGAACCCATGAGGACTCCAGAGCTGACCGGCTTTTCCTGACTGCCTGGGACATTGACTTGTATGTAAACTCTGTCTGCTTCTCCCTCCAGCTACCTGGACAGCCTAGACCGGATCGGCGCCCCGGATTACGAGCCCACAGAGCAGGACATCCTGAGAACCCGAGTCAAGACGACTGGCATTGTAGAGACCCACTTCACCTTCAAAAACCTGCACTTCAGGTCAGTCCCTCTTCTCAGCCCCTTCAGAGGGAGGGAGCAGGGCCTCCAGGCAGTGGCCTGTGAGCCCGGGTCCTCATCAGCGCACTGGAGACTCTTTCTTCTGAACTGTGTTTCATACCTCTTCCTCGGCAGAGGACATGTCAAATTAGCTCTTCTGAAGTGCAGCATTCTGTATAATGAAGCACTTAGGCATTATGTAAAGCTGTGAGAGTTTAACTGATACACCTGCTTTATTTATAGAGGCATGTTTTTTATGTGTTCAGTATTTAGAAATTCTCATGTTCTGTAAGGATCGAAATCTTGACAGCGAATTTAGTTTCCTGACAGACAAAACTCCTATTGTTCCATCAGATCATGTGATGCATTGTCAGACCACCTCCTTCGCCCCCTTTTCACAGTTTCACAGAGTTTGGTTGGAATGGGGGCCCTGTTCTCACACATGCTAGAGAACGAGCTGTTCTCTGTATTGAGCAACATGAAATTTCAATATGTTGTAAAACTAGTGGCCTGATGACGGACTCTTAAATCAGCAGCTTTATGCGAGCTGTTTCTTTCATTTCTGTAGGTAAGCTTCCGAGTTGTGAGCCATCTTTGAGGCACAGTCAGATGGGTGATCTTCTGGTCTGTGGAAGTCAAATGTTAAATTGAGGTGCTGACCGCTTGGCCAGCAGAGACCCCCGGGGTACTGTCCCGCAGGAGCAGGGCTGAGAACCCCAGAGGCTCGGGGTTGCACGGTCTGCACACCCTAACACTTAAGTTTCCACCCCTGCTGTTGATCTGCTGAGCAGGGGGGCGCCAAGCTCAGTGGACAATGTGGGTTCCCTCATGTAGGTAAAGCACAATTGGGAATCACTGGGATGAAGATTTGATCATCACTATTATTATTAGGTTGAAGGAGCTGCAGAATAGCAGCCAGAGCTGGAGAGCTGCGACAGCCTTTGTGCTCCACCCACACTGGGCTGTTTCATCTCAGTCACGCAACACTAGAGGGCGCCCTTCTGCCAGCCTCTTCAACACTTCACTGTGCATCTTTCTTAGGAGTAAGATTCTGAGGCTCTGCAGGCTGCAAGGTTACTTGCTAAGTAGAGCTGTCTGTATTGCCCTAAAGAAGCTTGTTCCAAATCCAAATGAATTCCTATGTGGCTTCCTGGGTGCAGTCTAGTGCAGCTGACAGGGCTGCTACATGCAGCACAGGTCACTGGGTACATGTGTGTGGTATCTTTGCTCTTGTCCATGTGCTCTTTAATGGTATATCAGAGGAAGCTCTTCGGGGAGGGGCAGTATGGCTGTGGAGTTCAGTGCGCTGTGGTGTCCCTGACAGGCTGTTTGATGTGGGAGGTCAGAGGTCAGAAAGGAAGAAGTGGATCCACTGTTTCGAGGACGTGACAGCCATCATCTTCTGCGTGGCTCTCAGTGGCTACGATCAGGTGCTGCATGAAGACGAGACCACAGTGAGTTGTGTTACCTTCATTCTACACCCTTGCTTTGTTCTCTTTACATTTCAGTAGAAACCATTTGTATTTTTTTAAAGGGAGTTCTTTCACTCCTTTTGTGATTTATCAATGAATATCAAAAGAGGATTTCTTCTGCTGTAACAATGACATAACTGTTTAACAATGTTATTTATTTTTAAAATGCTAATGTCATATTGTTACTGGTGTTAGAGCTACTCATCTTGCAGTCCTTCCAATCCGCTCTATTCCAGAATTGTGATGCAACCAGCACCCAGATTGCTAAATTGACAGTTAAGGAGCTGGTTGTAGAAATATTCTGGAATGGAGTGGATTGGAAGGGCTGGAAGGGCCACAGTATGAATGAGTCTGATCTGCGTCTTGTGTTAGACAGTTTTATAGAAGGTTGCACAGCTCCAGCCCTGAAGGACCAGAAGTTTTCTCATCCTCTTTAAGGCTGAATTATCTAACTGCACCCTCTAATTTCGAGAGACCTTTAAAACCTGGTGCAAGCTGGTCCTGGAGGACCTGGGGTTGGGCGCCTCTAATTTTGGGAGTCTAACATGTATAAGTGGAGAACGGCAGGTGGGGATGTGATAACAGCAGAGCTGATGTTCTGTTGCCGACTCAAGGCACCAGGGGACTTTTTTCTTGCTAAATGAAAGATTGCTTGCTCTTACAGTTTATTATAAAGTGCCCCTACCCACAACCCTCAGTGTCCCCAGGCTGGGGTCAGGGTTCAGTCTTGTGAGGTGCAGAAGAGTTCCTGTGAGCTTCTGAGGTCACACCACGTCCAGTCAGTCTGGCCCATTTCTGTCAGGACCCTGCGTGATCTGCAGCTCCACTGTTGCACTTTCCTTCAGTGTTGCAGACTGTTTCTCTGTCTGTGTTTGAATTTATGTTCTAATCTGATGTTGTACTCGTGTGACTTTTTCCTTGGAAACACTGTAGATTGATTCTGCATTGAGTTTTATGCAGAGTTTCTATGTGAGATTGATGTTTCTGTGTTTTGTCACCAGGATTTTGAAGGATAATAACCTCTAATGTTTTATTTTCAGATGTATGAGGCAGTAGTGTATCAGTTTGTTCTAGCCCAGCAGAATAATAATGTTGCTGCTGCAGATTGAACAGTTCTGGAACAGGGTTCTGGATGAAGTGGGGTTGCTGTTGAGTTCACTTTCATAATTCTTGTGAGAACTTGGCTGCTTGAGCCACTGTTTCTTTCAAAAGATTTTTTTCATTTTTAAATGGAAGCAGAGTATCTTTATTTTGATACTTTCCGCAT